GTAACCATAATCAATTCAAACTCTATAAAAATTTAATCTGCGTAATAATTGTTATAAAAAAAACTATGTCAATAAAATATAGCTCTCTCTATATCATTATTATTAGACATTAATATGTTTTTTTTTATTTCGGTAGGAGTACAATCGTTATTTAGTTTTAAAATTAAGTGAGCAACTATTTACAAATGGTACCATTAAAGCAAAAGGGTGGAGAGTAAAGGTCAACTCTTGTGACAATGTGTTTGATTTGTTTAGTGCAACCGTTAACCGTTCAATGGTCTATGTACTGTTTTGGCGGTAAAAAGAAATAATAATATATTAGCATTATTACGAAGACCTGGAGAAAGGACCTCCTTCTCCATCCACATAATACAACTGTCCACGCCTTCGTACCAAACATAGTGGTGTTGCGTTTGTCTTCTATCGTGTCTAATAATGTCGTGAATTATTAATAGGCCATTAGGTTTGTTTATAGTGGACACTTGTTGAGCGCGTTTAAGACCCACATGTCTTTTAACAACTGTTGTAGAGTCCAAAGACGGTCGCTGGTATTTTTTTATATTTTTAATATGTCACACAGTTTAGCTTTTATGGATTTTTCATACAAGAAAACTTTTCTTTTGAAACTTTTTACATCGCGTCGTCGATTTTATGGCATAACTGAGCGTGTAAGCGTGTGATTGAGTTTTCGCTGAGGAAATTGGCAACGTGCGGTTAGATGCGACAGATTGTGTTAGCCAGGACTTTTCGAGACGGAAAATGTTCGATAAACTAACCGGAAGGATGTCAAGCGCGTTAGACAAAATAAGGAAGACAAATTCTAGGTTAAAAAAACACATTAGATTTTCTGCACTTTGAGTTTTGTGTAGTCATAAAAGGGATTTAACAAAAACAAACATATTTTTTTCAGCAAGTTTTTAACACTATGAATTCTTAATTCGTGAACGACTTACGCAAATCAGACTAGGTTAAATTGTAATTTATCAACAATGATTTCAATGAATTATACCGTCTGGCATAGGCTGCTCTTGTTATAAAAAATAGGTAGTCGTATAGTTTAGTGACATACTGCAGTAGACCGTAGTATTATTATTACGGTTTAGCAAACCGTTTACTCATATCTCGCCAATGTTATTTATTGCTTTTAGATAAACTAAAAGAATTTCACATTGAAAACATAAAGACGCGAACACAACTCATAAAACTTAAATGGATACCTAACAATCGTGTTCTACTTATAGTGAAACACATAAATTACTGAAAATGTTACACATACAAATATGATTGAACTGCTGAAATACCCAATCAACTTGGACAAAATAAAGTCTATTTTCTTTTTTTTTCATTTGGCAAACGGATGATAAAACGAGGTCATAAAAAAGTCATAAGTTTTCGTGATCATGATGATTATCATATTTTAAAATAATGAGTTTTTAGTTATGATAATAGTTAATAATATTTGAAATACATTAGAATTGATGGTTTTGTCATGAAAACATGCGATTATGTAAAACAAAATTCTAAACAAATATTGTCATTGTTAAATTAAATATTTAACGACATTGTGTTAGGTTAATTGCATACTTATAACCTAAAACACATATTAAACTCAAAATCAATAATGACTAACAAAACACAAAAGAAGTAGTTGTGAAAAGCCAAACATTATTATAGAAATGATTTTGCATTAAACTAACGCTATCTATCGGTTAATTTTTGTTTTAAAATGACTACCGTGGCTAAAACTCGAACACTTTGTTAAAAGTCACGAAAAACTAAATATCGTACGAATATTAAGAGCTCTCGAGGTATTATACCAATTATTTTATTTTAAAGTAATTAACGTCACAAATTACTCGTAGTTAGTGTACTTAAGTATTTTATTTCATAAAATGAAAACGTTTTAAAATGAATTGGGTAAACCCATATATTTAGAAATCGGTTTTCTTTTTTGTCTTAATATTTCTATGAAAAATAGAACAATAGCATTGTTTTTTTTTCAAATAAAGAATAATAACTTAATCACGAAAAAATAAATGTATCCACTTATTATTTTTATACTTAATTAGTACTCACAAGTTTTTCCTATAAGATTCGCTTTTGTACGAGTAGAAGTGATCGATTCTTTTTCGGAAATCTTCGCAGAATATATGGTAAGAGCTATAGTTTAACGATGCCCTAGCTCTTCCATATACACGTTTCCCATTATTGTCGTTGGTACTAGAAATAGAAGAAGTCGAGCATTCTTCATTCGACACCACTTCCGACGGTGGCACATAAGACTGTTGGACTGGCAAACCGTCTGTTGGATTTTCAACAGGAGCCGATTCGTGAATAAAATACATTTCCTAAACATTGTAAAAAATAAACAAAATTAAACAACACAAAACGATATGTAAAACATTATTTATAAAAAATACATTTAAAAATAATTTCCGTAGTATTTATTAAAATCGAATTAATTATATTTTCAATGTTGTGTAATTCTTTGTTATTGTTTTTTTTTTAAGACGCTGAGTTAATTATCAGTAGTTGACTGTCAACTACGTGTTAATGCTTATTTATATTTTAAAATGTCAAAAATGGTTACTGATTATTTTGTTTTTTTGATAAGAGTGACAAATGCAAAGATTATTTAGAATGATCTATGCAAAATTTATGTTGAAACCACAAATTTCCAAAAAAATTTTAAATATTAAAAAAAAATCCGTAAGTATATAAGTAGAATTGTTATTTAAATTAAAATACTAAAATTAAAAAATGACGAGTATTTGAATAATTTTCATCACCAATACCTAGCTTAATTAAACTTAATTCACTAACACCAAGCTATGTCCAGTGTATAATCGTTTTGCAAATATACTTTAAATAAAAACTATGTATTTTTTTAATGCCTTAATTTCGTCACAAATAAAATAATTTTTTTATATAATTAAATAAAAAGAATTTTTGAGTGGATAAATTTGTTAAAAATGGCATTGTATACTGCACAGATGTTATAAGTGCTCTATTTGAAGAAATTCAGCTATGTATAACGTTACATACCTAATCCTATATTCTAAACATTATGTAAAAATATTGGAAACCTGATATTCGAAGCTCAGTGCTATGATCAGATTTTTTAAAGATATTATTCCTGTAATTTTTTTTAATAATTCACTTTGACATCTGCACACTATGACTTTAAAATGTAGTCTTGTATTATTGAATAATTTTTAATTAGACTTGTGGCAAAATAACACAACAAAAGATACCTTTAATGACTCATGACAGTTTGTCAGTTTTTTCTTCACTAGTAGGTGTGTAATTTTTTATTATCTTGACTAAATATTTGTTGATTTTTTTGTTAAATATTATTATTTATCAATTAAAATCTAACGTGCCGTAATGGTTAATCAGCACTAAAAATGATTTAGTTAATATCATTCATGATTGTGTGTAAAGTAGATTTTTATCCGAACTATAGTAATAACGTCAGTAGTTTTCGCTGTACAAGTATTAAGAAACGATAACTTACCTATAATGTCTGTAATGACGCTATTTTCACCAAAAAAAAAACACCAACTATTTAATATAAAAGTTGTAAAAAAGTTTGTTGTAGATTGATGACGCTGGACAAGAAAAATTGTCTGGAAAAGCTTACACGGATAGTATAAAAGTCCGTTTTTTCCATGGAAGAAAAACCAATTACATCGATGATTGCAATCCAACGCTAGGGTTAGGTCAATTACAGCTGATGTTGTGTTCGGTGTTATCGATAAAAAGAAAAGTTAAATATAATATGTCGGTGACAAGTGTTTAAAACAGCTTTATTCGCAGACACTAGACAGCAGACTTCTATAGACTACACTAGAATATTACTTATAATTTAATTTATTTTATTAATTGGATTTATTTAAGTGTTGGAAGGTTAATATTATACTCACAGTCATTCTGAAGTTGGGACGGGTAAACTTACGTAATACGATAAAATATGTTATCGCTATTTTATAATATCTTAATATCTAGGTATATATTATTTACTAAGTATCGGCTATTTATAGGGTATAACAAAGACACCTTTTTTGTATGAACATAATATTTAATAATATGTTATTTATAATAATAATAATAGATTTATTAATTTCGTATTACTTTAATTTGGTCCGTTAAAAAATAACTCCTTGACTATAAAAAAACTATTGAAATATTTATAAACTTGAGCGGTTAAGATTTGTCTTCAAAGCTACACTTGCACGTCTATACTAGCAGTCACCTAGTTTATATTTTTACACAAACGCACTTTCATGGTAGTAGGAAGTTTATCTTGTTTAATGATGTCTTTTTTTTATTCTTCGAAGAAATAATTGTATTTTTTAAAACTTGTTCATGATTCACAAATGTTATACATAAATTAGGCTATTGCGGTTTAAAACATTGGGGATTAGGGATTAGGATAATGTAAAATATGCAATATAAATCTTGATCACATTTAAAAAACTACTATACATAATTTATATATTTTTTTTTTGTAAGAAATGTAAATAAAAAGTTATGAATAGTAAAATATTTTTTTGTGGAAAGTAAAATTTGTTATATTTAAATTTTGAAACGCTGAAACGTCAAAAAAACCTTACTACAATTAGTCTGTATATCCGGTCTCCATTTATTTACAGCTTATTCTAAGATATCATGTAATTTTTAAAAAAACTATGTTTTTACTATACATACTTTTACAAAACATTCAGGGTAAATTGGAAACACTATTTTTTTTGTGTTGTATGAATAAAGTAAAAATGTAATATCATTAATTGACACCTTTAAGTGCAAACACGTTAAATAATGACTTTTAATTAAAATTTCTTATTTTAAATTATATTTTCATTGTTACATTGTCCCATGGCTTTTAATTTTACTATTTAATTAAAAAATATTGATTTTAGTTACAAAGCATACTATATTTTAGCATTATCTTTTACTTTTCACCTGTCAATAAGTCAATCAATCAATATAACAGTAACTTCCTGGGTTTAGTCTTTTAATATTTCTCAAGTTATTCATGTTGTACCGATAAATTATTTAGTATACTACGCGAAAAAAATTGAAAAAATAATATATTCTAATATTTAGTATCCGAGCATTTGTATTTTTTAAATTACAATTTATAACTATTAATTATGTTTAAAGGTATTTTCAAAAGTCAAAATCGATTGGAATGGTTTGATATTATTATATAGGTAGTAGGTATTTTGTATAAATAATAAAAAAAGTATATTGACCTTTGAGCGTGTGAATTTACACAATTTTACACTAGGTATTATAAAACATAACTATATAAATTTAGATATGAAAAAATAAATATTTCTGTTTTAAACAATAATAACATTTTAACGACTATTTTCGCAAGGTTTCTGGCGTGTACACATCAACTCCGGCAATACCGGTTCCTTTTGTATCGCCGAGCCAAGGGTATTTGGCTGGACAATGTCTGCAAGTTGACAAATACCTTTGGAAAAAAAAAACCACCGGTTTAAATACAAAGTATATTTACATTCTTTCAGATCTAACAAGAGCAAACTAAACTCAACAACTATACCTTGTGACGGCAACACTGGTGTCCGGTTGCCTAAACGACAGAGGGCATTTGTTGGGCAAATTACATGGCGGCGATGGGAGCTGGTCGGTCTTGTCGCACTTCCAAGCCTCGTAGGTGGCCAACTCTTTGACACCTTTTGGGTCTGTCATCCATGTCAATGCTTGTGTGACAGTGACAAACCATACGTCCGGTCTAAAGCGTGTGTCAGAATAATAATTGATCGATAAATAACATACCGATGCGGTCACATGAGGTGTATACACTTTTTATAATAGCTTTTATAAGCATAAAAAAAAATTGCTCACTGTTTGTTTGCCCAGTCGACGAACTTGTGCAACCCGTTCTCTAACTCTTTGATTTGGAACCAGTTGGTATGGAAAGGCATCATGTACGGAGCCCGGTTTTGATTATAATACCGGTTGAAGTCTTCGCGAAGCCATTCGAATACTTCGTTGGCGTCGTGATTGTGCAGCACGCACTGGTCTAAGTACGGGCAATGTCCGCCTTCGTAGGTCTCTACGTAATGGGCGTTCAAAGGCACCTGCCAAGTACCTACACCGGTAAGAACAACAACAATAATAATAGTTATTATCTTAATACAATTTAAGCGGCGGTACCTGTAAATCCATCCATATTAAATTATATCAAATTCATTCAAGCAGGTGGGCGTATCGAACTTTGAGCAGTAAAACCCTGTACTACGGTTTACGCGAGGACGTAAACGAAAAATATTGAACGCTACGAATAGTTAACCCCATAATATTATCAGGATGATTTAAAACCCGATCTAATCATGTGGTATATTATTATGTAGTACACTGACCTTTAAATGACTTGGTGGGGCATGTGCCAGATTTGCATTCGTGTGGGATCTTGTAGTCCAACGAATATGGCCAAATCGGTACTTTGGATGGGGGTATACCGATCGAACTGTCGTAGACGAAACCGTAGTCCTCGATTACCTTTAAAATTCAAAAACGTATGTGATATTAATCATATATATTTCGATAACCGCGAGATAGCATTAAATGTTTTGTCAGAGAGTCAAAAAGTAAAATAATAAGGTACCTATTTTTTGTTGTGCACTTAAAATGGTTGTTATTTAAATTAAAAAAAAAAAATACACTTTGGACAACAAATACCTCATTTACTGTTAACTAACAGTTTTACTGTTTGAGTTGTGGTCATAGATGTTAGATATTATTAGATTAAATTTACGTTTGGAATTCTCAATCTGTTAAATGTATGATTTGTTTTTTATAGTATTTGAGTACATACCTCGTATTGAGTGTTTCTGCCAGGTTTCAAGAACGGAGCTCTCATTCCCACAATGTCGCTTCTGGATAGGTTAGCGAAATTGACGAGAATCTCTCGCATGCCGATCATTTCTGCTACCCACTCTTCGTATCCTTTATTCTCCAAACCTTTTTGTAACCTTCGAGATAAATTAACAGGTTTATTGTGCGTCCACAAGGGATAGGATGTGGCCCTATCATATACACTGTAAGATACCCTGTGCTTACGATATGGTTTCAGTGCCGATCTCGTGGCCTTTATGCGCCAACTCTTGAACCATGTTGTAGTCACAGTATTCGTGCGAAATGAAGAACGTGCCCTTTATTAGACATCCATTGGGGTTCTTTTTGTTGTGAGAGAACACCTTTTGGTAATGATCGTAGTTGTTCGTGTTAACGGCGCCGTCAAATGTCAGCAATATCATTTGTGGCGTCTGAGAAAATCAGTTTGGCTAGAATTAATAACAGTTTCGGGAGAAAAAACAGTATAAAATAGATAATGTCGAACACTCACGTCCTTTGGGTCCAGTCCTCCCGGTATTATAGTGCCGTCCCTGGAGCAAAAACAATAGGGCAGAGTACATTGGCTGGTGTCGCATTTCTGAGCCAAATCTATAGGATTTTCCGTACTCGGCGCTTCGGCTAAAAAAAATTCCGTACAAATGTTTGATCATTCGGTCTACCATTAGCCTGCAGTATATTACTTGCGGGGAGAGGTCCACAACGAGCTTCATTTTTAAAAGTACACAATTTGTTCACGTCGTCGAAATACAATCCAGACGGGCATCGGTTCAAGTACGGATGGTTGTCTACGCACTAAAAATAGCTATTATTATTATAATTTTCGAAAAATTTAAAAAATTGTTTTTGCTTAGTACCTGATAAAATCGCCGACACGTCGCCGGGTCCGCATAGTTACCATTGCCGCCAACTTCAGGGCAGGTAAATTCTTCATTAGCATTCTCGCATATTACTATAAAAAAGTTAACGGTTATTAGTTAACGTCGTGGCGTAGATGGAATTAATAATAATATATTTGTATTTAAGTCGTGTCTTTCGCTGCTGTATGTATCTTTTTTTATTGCATATCAAACACCGACCACTACACACAAATTTTGCTTATTTGGGATGGGTTAGGGGACGTCATAAATTAAAATATGACATATAAAAATGTATGTACGTTTGTATCCATGAGTATGGGTGCTAATTTGTGTTCAAAGTTCAAAAAAATTAATAATATGTACTAATGTACCTAGAAACCTTCCTCGAATACAAATGCTGTAAAATTATTAAATTTAAATTAATTCAGCCGCGAATGTATAAATATAGCACACTATAGTTATTTATTATAGGTTCAACGTTCTTCTGCGACCTTAGCACATATTATTTATGTTAAGAATACTCTATACACATGAGCACATAATCCGAGCTTGGTTTTGGTACCATCAAATTACATTGCCCGAGGTGAATAATAATTACATAATAATATTCTTCAAGGCATTGTGGGAAGTGATTTCGATGTACGCGGGGACCATGTGACGGTATGTAGTATATAATCAGCATTTAAATAGATGAATTGAATTGTTACGCTTTCACGATGTACAACAGGTATCCGAGTTGGTCGTTCGTGTTTGCATCCCGCAAACCATGTATATTATGTTAGCTTCATAAAGGGATTTTGTGTGTGTATGTGTGATCAATGAAGAATTGACGATTTAGATAAAACAATTATAAATGTATCTCATAAAATATATTTAACGTTCAGTACGGCGGAGTTACACAAATCATCACTAATTATACTATTATGATTATGATTATTTTAAATGAATTTCACTGATTTCACTTTTATACACCATGCACATTCGTTGTTATATTATATTATACGTTATTAACAATTTCTCCTTCAATAATCATGAAAAAATCTCGAGCATGCAAGTTTCCTGTTTTTAGTAAAGTTAAAAAAAACTTGTTTGTTTTCGCAATATTAGTACACAATTTCTTTGTGATTTCCCTCAATCACATAATACGAAGTAGTAGTATTGTTAATAACGCCAAGTAACTTATCTGGCAAAATTGAACTCAGTAAATTGTCTTTGTTATAAAATAATTGTTTTTAAATTAAGATTGGGACTTTAAAATTAGAATTTTCCAAAAATTCTTATTCTATCTAAATATATTGAAGTTTAATAGTTTCTAATTTGAATTACAATTTGAAGATTTGTGTCTAAGTTAAAAATATTTTCTGATAACAATGTTTAAAAATTATAATAAAATAAATAAAATTTGAATATTTTAAATTTCATCAATTTTTTCTTCCATAATTCGTTCTAAACATGTTTTTTTTTTGTAGAATACTTCTATTTGTACATCTCGTTTTTCGTTGTTTGAAACTCCGGATTTTGAATAATCCCAACCTAAGTTTAACTACAACTGATTTGAACTATTTCAAATTAGTGTTGTATTGAAAAATAATTTGGTATTTAGTATGGGTATTACTAAATAGTTGGTACTTAGTGCTATGTATGCTACCACTCGTTTGAAAATGGTTATTACGATAACAATAAAATATAAACGTTTCCATTAGGTTGAAATTAGAATAAAATGTTATTCATGGTTAACTATTGCGATTGAATTGGCACATTAAGTTATGAAACTCCCGTTATTAGATGGACAGTAAAAATGTAGATACATAATATGTAATCGGGTTTACGACAAATACAAATAAAATTCTCGTAAACCTTCAGCAATCACATTTTACAATATAAAATTGTATATAAATCTCGTTTAGGTATGGACCTCATTACATATAACGGGTATGAAAATCAAGCATTTTAATGTTATATAACTTTGTGTGTTTTTTTCCGTTATGGCAATACAATTTATGTTCATGTGAAAAAAAAAAATTGGTTACACTAAAATATGAATTTCAAACTTACCCGTAGTGATTGATTGAATGGCTAGTACTGCGATCACTTTAACTATTGTAAATTCCATTACTCTACCGTTTTAATCAACAATTTAAACAAATTAATACAAATATACTACACGTCTACGTCATGTTTCTCGAGCTAAAGGTGTTATTATTTTCAATAGTGACCAACTGGTTTGTGCGCTGCCGTTGTAGTACTGCGCGTGTGAACGTTACTAGTAGTGTACGTTGGTGTTGTTGGTGCGCGGATAAGGCTGACCACTTTCTCACACCACAACCAGTTTTTAAGACGAAAATTCGATCTATCATTATCATATTACTACACGTTAACAGTATTCGATTGTTTTTTAAAACTAACGATGTATCGTTTCTTGTAAGTGTGGTCGGGTTTGCCTCGTGTAAAGTCAAGGCCAAAATATACTCACCATATTAAAATATTACCAACAGATCGGACAATGTTCTTACAAACAGTTTCCACCTCCGAGGCTGTTATCGTTTGTCACCACTCACCATTTGATGAAATGCTTGTAAGCGTTTTTTGTTGAAATAAAATGCAATTGTAATACATAGCTGTAATTGAAATATTTTCTAAAACCACTCTCTGCAGTTTCGTGAATTTAACTAGGATTTATGAAATTTACAGTGACCTATTAGTCGGTCCTACAAATTGGAAAAAAAGACGTTTAACGTGACATTTTGACATGAACACTTTCTCTGATGGAGCGAATTATCGTGAGATCACTTTTTGATAGGCATCCGAAGTTCGAGACTAATGGCTTTCTTTTTTTTAAGGATTTCTGACGCTGAATTAACTAAGTTAGTATAGATATTCACAATAAAATTATATGATTATATAACTTCAAAGAATAAGGTATTATAAAATAACGTAGTTTATTAATTTTTATATTTTAAATGTAATCAGTAATACTATGACATTATTGCACACACACAAATATTATATTATCGCTATGATGATTTTTTTTTACCTGTTAAAATTTAACTACTGATAGCAAGGAATACCTAATGTAATTCCTCAGACTAAGACAATCGAAGAATTTTTACATTTAGGTATCATATGCATAGATCAAAATAAAACGAGATATGGATTCAATAATTTTCTTATTGAATGCAACTATTTTTTTAAGTTGTGTTTTAAAAATTATCTTTTTGGCCATCGAATATCGCAATAGAAAATAATTTAAATTTATAAATTTATAGCCTAAAGATATATTTATTGTACAAGGTGAATATAAGTTGTTTTTACACAGTACACAGTATACTGTATATAAGGTGGCACGTGGTAGTTTGACAATTTTACATAGAAACTATATAAACAATTTTTAAAAAGCAATTAGCAAACCACCGTTTACATCATATATTATGTATAATTATATAGTGAAAGTACTATTTGCAGATGCATTCTTTAAATACACTATGTGTAATTTGCCGTACAAATATCAGTTATTTAAACGACTGTATTCCATGGGCAGTCGATATTCTCAACGTTGTCGGTTAACTGCAGCTACAATAAAAATACATAATACTCCATTTAGGTACCTTAATTAACTATAGTATACTGTATAGTAATTATTTAAGCGCGAGACGTACTTTGTTAGTGATGTGGTCTTGGCACGCCATTCGTATCTTTTCTACAGTCGCCGGTGGGTCTAGTCTAAAGTATCCTGTGATGCCGGCGTCTTTCCTGGCCTCATATACAGCGTTTTTTATAGCGAAATATACCGAAGCCGATAAAAACAAGGGGGGTTCACCAATAGCCTAAACATAGTTTAATAAATAATGTATAGTATAGAAAATTAGTTTTTTTTTATTAATATTTCTTACTTTTGACGAATAGACGGCTCTAGGGTTATCAGAACCTTTTAATAACGACACAGTGAACTCTACTGGTATGTCTGCAAATCCTGGTATTTTGTATGTACCGGGACCTCGGGTGTACAACATTCCTTTAGGGCTGTACACGAGTTCTTCTAACGTAAACAACCCATATCCTTGCATGAAAGCACCTTCGATCTGCCCCACATCGATGGCTGGATTTAAGCTCTGTCCAACGTCCATCACTATGTCCGTGCTTAAAACCTACCACAGAAAAGAAATTTCGTCACTACAAAAATATCCGCAGAATGTATAGAAAACCGTGAACCGTAGTTTAACTAAAGAGGAGTAATTTATCTAATTATTTTGAGAAAGATATTTTTTAAATTTCTCATTTTTAAATTAATCATAAATCATAAATATAATGTTTTATACAAGTATAATATATTTAAAAACTATAATTGACCTCTTAAACCGGTCACTTTTTACATAGTAAACAAATACATAGCGTTAGTTGGTCGGTAATAAAAATCCCAGTAAAACATATTAAGACTTCTGTAACGACAGGTTTTAAACGACATGCATGTATGTGTATTGTTGATTTTAATTAAATTATAAGGACGCGTGATGCACGAGGTGTCATGTAGTAGCTATATCTTAGATGGACGAGATTTTTTTTTATAAAAAAAAAAATACCAAAACATTATAAATTTTTATAAACACGTTTTGTTTGGCGCTATTTGACTGTAGAGCCGAGGCGCATCGGGAAAGCTTCCGGTATTCCGGTGAGCCAGCACGGACCTAAATCAGCTTATTATAAATACTTCCACAAAATAAAATCCAATAACATTTTTCTATTTCATATAACTTACTTCATGATCCCCCGTCAAGCAGTCTATTTCCACACAGGAAACGACAGCTCCGTTAGTAAAATACATGTAATGGTTTACAGTTCCTTGCTCAGTTGTAGATCCTACAACGTTGTTCCTAAATAATACGGATATTGACTTTAAAAAAAACTGAAAATGTTACAAAGTCTTTTATAGTCAAACACTCACGCGTAGAATCCCTGAGCCCAAAGGCTGATCTTATCGAAATAAGCGGAATTCACCCATTCCTTCCACGAACCATTCGGGTTTTGCTTCTTATACGGTTCTAGTCTTTTATTGAGAACTTCACAGGCGTTCTGAAAAATATCATCCTTTATAATCAAAGATAAAGGCACGTGACTTTTCGTAATACACTTACCAGTACAGCCATGCCGTTCAAATCAGAACTAAAACTGCCGGCGGTTGGTGACATATTGGCCACCTTGTCCGTACTTGTTTCTTTAATGTGTATCATGCCCGGCGGAATACCCAATCCTCTGCTGGCTACTTGTATCATTTTCGTATGAAGTCCTTGGCCCATTTCTACTCCACCGTGGGCTAACAACACCGACCCGTCCAAATAGACATGCAACAATACACCAGCTTGGTTGAGAAACTTGGAATGACCAGCATACGCTATGCCATACATTGTTGGTATGGCGGATATGCCTCTCTTTTTCCATCTATTTTTTCTAAAAAATATATTCGTGAATTTGTTATAAAATTAAATCAGTAAGACCAATTATTTTGAGTAGCAACTTGTTAAATCGCTCGATTTCGTTTAATTTTGACTCGTATTTTGATCTTTTTATCACTTCTTCCCAACAATGCTTGACTGTGAAGCTCGGTACCATTTGATTGTAATGAGTTATCTGACCGTCCTGAAAAAAGTTTAGTTCTCGCACTGCAATTGGATTAATTTCGAACTCTTTGGTAATTCTTTCAACAATAGCTTCCGCGAAATACATCCCTTGGGGCGCTCCAAACCCTCTGAAAGCAGTGTTGGATGGTAAGTTTGTAGCACAAGCGTACCCGGATACTTTTAGGTTTGGAACGTAGTAGACGTTGGCAATGTGGGCTACACATCTCTCCATCGTCTGAAAAATAAGACCAAATTCAATGATAGATTTAATATAGAAAACACAATTAATCAAATTATTACTTCTGCAGACAAATCCAATGAATATCCTGCGTTGTTATAAGCGGTGACATCTAGAGCAAGAATTTTACCGTCTCCGTTAAATCCCACATTATACTGACATAAAAACGGATGTCGACCGCCAGTGATTAACATGTCTTCGTGTCTGTCAAGCATGCATCGGATAGGTTTTCCCGTCCTGTTAGGATTATAAAATACTTATCAAATTACGGGTTTTATCAATATAATTAAAATCCACAATTCACTTGATAGCAGCAACAGCACATGGAGCAGTAGTAATAAACGCCCTAGTTTCTTTACCGCCGAATCCTCCACCAATGCGCTTTGTTTTGCACACTACACGGTTAGCCGGAATATTTAAACAATGAGCGACGATTCCCTGTACGAACAATATAATATTATATGTATCATTGTTGTAAATTCCTGTTAATAGATTGCACTTGAAGATTTGCACACCTGAAGCTCACTGAGTGATTGTGTCGAGCTTATCACTTCGATTTCATTATGTTCACTCGAAGGTATGACCATACAGCTTTGAGTTTCTAAGTAAAAATGTTCTTGGCCGCCCATCCTTAAGGTACCTTTCAGAGAATGTTTTGACTCTTTGAACCCTTGTTCCACTGAACCTTTTTCCCAATACGAACATCGGCCGTTATGAAAACGTTGCTCTTCAATAGCTTCCTAACGACAATTATTGTTTTTATTGTCCTTTTTATTTTACGATACTCTGATCATTCTACACCACATACCTCGATAGTAACAATTGGTCTTAGCTCTTCATACTCCACTCGAATTAAATGTACTGCTTCTTGTGCTACAAGCTGATCCACAGCCACCACCGCACAAATTATTTGTCCAAAATAGAATACCTAATGTGATTTTCAAATGTTAATTTGCTAAGTCCTAAAGTCTTCTAAAACTTGATTAACCTTTTCTCGGGCGAATACGTAGTCGTCTTTTAACGGCGTCACGCCTACCATGTTACGGTCCCCCGGTAAGTCTTTTTCGTCTACTATAGTTATAACTCCAGGATGGGATAAAGCCTTGCTGTAATCTATGGTGGTAATTTTAGCATGCGAATGTGTTGATGTCTTAACCGCCAAAAAAAGTTCGCCGGTCAAGTGCGGTAGGTCGTCACAGTAAATCGCTTCCCCTGCAAGTCATTTTCGAGACTTATTCAAAAGGAATATTGTTTTATTAGATAAAAGATTACATACCAGTTGTTTGCTGTTTTGCTGACGCGTGTACGAATGGCCTACCCACCGGATCATCAAGACTTTGTGAATGTGGAGTTATTTGAAAGTATTGAGCATATTTTGGTACTCTCGAATCATGTAAGTTGTCCACCGCATATCTACACGAGTGTTTTATTTTCAACTGATCGTTAACGTGTCGATAAAACTTAAAAAACAGACTAAAAAACTATAAATGTATTTTTATTGTTCAATGTTTAATGATAAGGCTATTAACCTTAAAGCTAAAGTTTTTCGGTACAGCACCATACCACCCGGTGCATTGGGAGCTAGTGGTAAGTCTTGGAGTAACTTTAGATACACCTCGTTCAATATATTTTCTGACCATTGGTTACCAATCAAAAATGATTTAGATTTATTTGCAAAAATTGCAGTGGCCGACATGCCACCGTAAACGATTTCCACATCTCTTACCACATTCTCTGAAATTTCTATATAAAAAGCGGCGTTAACCAAAGCTATGTCGTCTTCTTTTCTTCTCGACTGTTTAAAAGCTTTGAAAAATGTCTTCTGGAATCAGATTTGTATACAATACATTTCATTTTATTTTGCAATAAATGACGTGAAGATGTTTCATAATATTTTCTTACTTTTGTAGTGAACGGAATGAACAAATCTATGACTACTTCATCCGCGAGAATGCTATTTGTCCGATAGCCAGTGAAAAACAAACTATCCATGGTCAAAAGTCGTTGACGATTTCCTTTAAAATAATATAAGTACTACATTTAATAAAAAAAAAATTGTTGAACATCATAACAGTGTATTTGTATGTTGATTTTGCATCTTACGAAGACTTTCAACTTTCAATTGACAACGAGCGGCTAGAAGTATAGGGTTCAAATCGGATATAGGACTTCCAGTTACAATATTCCCTGCAATACACTGAAACATTTGAATTTATTTAGTGTAGTTTGTTACAGTGCCTACCGAAACTAGAATAAAAGAAGTATTTCAACAGTCAAAAACTCTTAAATATTAATTAAAGCGAAGAAGACACCATGCTATAATTTTAATTTAAAATTAAAATAAGTTATTTAATAACTGTATAGTGGTAAATACTGAATAGTGACACAAGCATACTTACTCCCACATTTCGAATTTGTTTACTAGCAAACCAAGGTATGATATCCAGTAGAGCTTTTACTACTTGAATTTTGTAATCTAAAATCATTTTTTATCACAGTAAATACACTATATTTAATTGATATCAACTATATTCGTATCGTCTTGCGATGTCGAGAAAATATTAGATGCGATATATAATTAGTCTGATTTATTATCAAATTATTATTACCCGGCATGTTCATAGCCAAATATGATAGTTCAGTTTCGAATTTTTGAATTGTTACAGCTGCTCCTACTGTAAGTCCTTTTTCTGAAACTTGTATGACATTTAACTCTGGTATTTTAGTCGGCTGTATCATCACGGGATACTGACAGTTTTTGAACTTTACTTCAACTCCTAATGATTATTTAAATTAAATGTTATAGAATCATACTCTATTTTTATTTTATAAAATCAATTTTTTTCATAATTATTTGTTTCTTTCCTTACCCACTTCTGTGTTTCCAACAATAAGCCGGCATTTTGGAAACTTATTTTTGAGTTCCAATAGTTCAAGGAGCGTAGTTGGCCTGTACCACGTTATTTTGTTTCCTCTAAATATCAGATACTCTTCGTCATATCTTTTGTTTATCTGTTTTAAAAAACAAAAATAATTTGTATAAATTATACTTTTATTCTAAAATTATAATATTATTATTTTAACAATAACATTACTTACAATGAGTTCCGGTGGAAATATTGGTTCTTGAGTCGGGTCGTATGGCGAAAATTCGGAGGCGTCAAATGTGTCAGTGGGATGATCTTCAAATATTTTCGTCTTTTTGCAACAAAGCTCGCCCATAGCACATCTGTTACTGATAATGTAATCCTCACTCATTAATGTTCTTAATCCTTGCAAAATTGGTCTATAGCCCGTGCACCTACACAGATTCCCTGCTTAAACTGTTAATACCACAATCATGGCAAAAGACTGACAAAATCTCACCCTGTAACGCGTACTCTAGATCTTTATCATTAGGTGGTCTGTCTAAAGCCCTTAGCATGGCGTAGATCGACATCACAATACCGGGTGTACAAAAACCGCACTGCGATCCGTGACTAGCCGCCATTCGTTCTTGTACAGGATGCAATTTGGTCTTAGTGCTGCCTATACCTTCAACGGTAATTACAGCACAACCGTGTATACTGACAACTGGACATAAACAAGCATTGACGGCTAAATGTCTAAAACGCTTTCGAGTTAAGAATATCGGTTGTTAATCCAACTGAATAACAGTTTTTTTTCTAAAAATCATTATGCTTCGTAGCTAAAATTGTTGTAGAACATTACATTATCTGGTTTAATAAGCTGTTCTAATAGTAAATGAAAAAATGTATTAACTGACATTTTGGATTTTTTATTTCACAGCTATGATTTTAAATAAAGGATACAAGGGTTGGTTGTTCATCCTATCGTATTTGGATATCACTACTGTACACGCTCCACATCCTCCTTCGGCACATCCCAATTTAGTTCCCATTAAACTCACTGTGCAATAATGATTAAGTCAAGGAAATTTTTCAATTAAACTATTACTTTTATGGTCATTACAAAATTCGCAATAAATAAGTATAAACAGTAATAACATAGAAAAGGATACATTTATTTCTCAAATAATATAATAGTGTCCATTGCGGATCTGCTTTTGATTCGACAACCTATTTGTAAGTATAAATTAAAAAGAAAATTCATTACAAATAAACGAACGCTAATGATCATTAGTTAGAATACTTCTGTGACAAACATTTTATACTTAAATATAGGACACCAAAAATGTGGTGTCCTAACTCTAAAAAGCATATTTTCACAATTAGAAGAATAACACTTTCTACTATATTAATATTTGATAATAATATAAATATTTACTTATTTTGTTCTAAATTCTGATACAAAAAATTATATTTAACCCCGGCAAATAATTTATTTCATAATCAGTAAAAAATGAATGGGGCGAACCTAGCCTGTATATAACGATTGAAAAAGTATTTTATTTTTAGTTATCTAAGATTTTGTATAACTCATATTTTTCAAAATTCAACTACATGAACTGTTAAAAAAACGTGTTTTTACTTTATTAAATAACTTGTTCAAAGACATTGACAGCCTATGTTAACTTATTATAAGCTCGAGTGCTCTTCTGGTAAAGAATACCACTAGTTTGAACTGTTGAAGTAAATTAATATATTATAACTATTATCTTATGATGAGATGACTTCATTATTAATTATAGAGCTTAATGGATGTTAATTGTACTCACCTTTTTACCGTTGACAAAAAACACTAAAATCGATGTTGATTTTTCCATAATATTTTTTAGCTTAACGTGTGAATGTGTTGGTAAAAACGTTTATAGTATTATAATTGAATATAAAAGTTTGTTTTAAAGTATTCCTTAGGTGTTTTAATATTATATCAAACTTATATTATTTTTTTTTAAATCGTATAACTTCTATAATAAACAACAAGAAGTTGATTTTCCACGAGAACACAATTTTATACTGAAGAACAACTTTTTATCTAAAAATTTAACGAGACATGTTCGTTTTATGAATTATATAGCTTCCAGAAGCCTTAGTAGTTTTTGTGTAATGAATATAGATCAGGTATCAAGTATATATTATAACGACTCTCTGTTTTTTCTAGTGTTTCCAATATAACTTTTTTTATACAGGATACTACATGTTTTCAATTCTCAAATTGATTAGAAGTTTGAAGTTATATTATAATATATTAATAAATAATAACCAAATTTGATGAGTATAAACATATTTACTTAAGTTGTTTTTAATTTACACGATAATTAGTGTATCAGTACAATAAATAAATAAATAAATAAATAACTTAAATGACTTTCTATTAAACTTAAATTAAATTGTTTCGTTTAAAGCCTCGTTTTCGTTGATTGCTGGAGATATAGTAGAGCTTGAATTCGTAGGGCTGTTTTCCTCTTCGTACTCATCTTCGCCTTCTAATAACAATGGCTGCTCCTCAGATGTAGATGTCAAGGGTGATGCTGTAGTGGATTTGAGTAATGTGAGACTAGGTTTGGGTGGCATTAAGCCTACGATTTCCACCTAAATAAAACAACGCGTAAATATAATGTAAAAAGTAATAACTCCATGCAATATTCTAAACTGCTATTCATGTACCTTGGGGTCTAAAAAACAAACTAAGTTGTTTTACTAAATATTATTTTGGCCTTGTTTTGGACCAAGTTACAAATTTAGTCGAAAATATTCTGTTAATCGATAAAAAATTGTAATATGAAAAAAAAAATGACTTAATCAATAATGTATTGTTTCCTTCTGCAGTTTTAATACACTATCATTATTTGTAGAAGCTTTGTAATCAATATGTATAGGTACTCATATGTGTGGACAGCTTATAAACAATATGTCATTCGCCTAATTTCTCAAACAATTATATTGGTATTATTAATGGTAAACTGTATAATACTTTATTATTTTATCAATAGAAGGATGTTTCAATAAAAATGTTTAGTTGTCGTTACATCCGTTTTACTAAAATTACTAATAAAAAAATTTTAATTTAAAAATCGTTATTGACCAGATTTAATTTTCAGCTGAATATTCTTATATATATAAATAAAACAAATACATTTGTAAGTTGTCATTTATCAGAAAGTTGTTGGCAATATTATTAGTTTAAAAAGGGAATTTATATAATCCTATTATTTCCTTTGATTTTAATTACCTTTTTTTTATCTACTTCACAATTACGTCCAATAAAACCGTCGGCACACAAGCATCTGTAATTTCCGTCTTCTTCGGGGAGGCTCACACATGTAGCGCCATTTTGGCACGCAACGTTATTCGTTTCGCAGTACTTAAGTTCTAGGCGAATGAATAATACAAATTAGATGCTTGTAATCGGGTAATATAAAATGCACACGTCTCTTATTTGTTACCTTGGTCGCACAATATTCCGCCCCAACCGGGCTTACAGTTACATTCCCACGGACGGTTGCAAGTGCCATGCACACAACCTGGATACGGGAAACATTGAGTGCAGTTCTTACCCCACCAGCCTACTTTGCATCTGAAACACGGGTTGTTCCACTCAGTTTGGTTCAATAACGTAAATATTAAAAGAAGTGTGCGAAAATACAAATAAAATTATAAAACAACTAGTTATCCACGTTCTATACCTGCATTCGCTGGGCTTCCGGCAGTAACCCCTTTCCCGGTGACATCCTTCGGAGCACACGGCTATATTATTAACACGAGCATACAGTTACTTACAATATATAGTTTTATAATAATATGGTCGTTCTCGGCGAGACACGATCTCTCCGTACTCACGTATCTGACACAAAATTCCTTGCCATCCCTTTTCACATTTACACTCCAGAGGCTTGTTGCACGTCCCATGTTGACATCCCGGCAACGGTTGACATTCTTTACACATATCTCCCGTCCAACCCAGGCGGCACCTTCAGAGAAAATTTTGAGCATCACGAGTTGAAAAATACACACAAAAAAAAAATTGTTTAAGTGATTCGATAGGATGCGCTTTACCTGCACTCTCCCGGCCAGTCGCAATATCCTTTGCTCGGGTGGCAGTCCTGGTGGCAGATCGCTACGGTCGCAGATACGCACAAACAAAATATGTAAATTATATTTTAGATAATTTCAAATGTACCGCCCGTAAAAAACTATTACTTTCAACAAATAAAATCATTCATTACGTTCTGAACAGAATATGCCATCCCAGCCTTCGTCGCACTTGCATTCAAAACTGTTATTGCAGTGCCCGTGTTGACATCCAGGCAGCGGTATGCACTTGTTGCACGTATCTCCGTAGTATCCTAATATCAATAAAAAATGTAACCCCATAAAATAATAATACCCATTAGCATTTGCCATTTATATTACATATTATATAATAACAGTAATTTGTTTATGGTACTCACCCAACTTGCAGCGGCACTCGTTCGGACGTTTGCAATAACCTTGGATCGGGTCGCAACCTTTCCTACATATAGGAACGTCGCAAAGATCTCCTATCCAGCCGGGTAAGCATTTCATATCTCCATTATCGTCGCATGTATAATGGCTCGATTCGTTTTGTGTGGCTGGCGCTTCGCAGGCCTAAAACGATTTTTAAAAAATACCAAAATTTAAATTTAAATAAAAAAAATAACCGCGTTCAGTGTTGAAGTAATAATGACTAAAGACAAAACACAGTTTTAGTGTAGTGGATAATAGCTTAATAATTTCAATGAAATCGTTATTAAACGCCATTATTGTTTTAAAATAACTGCTACTTATTAATTTAGAATTCCAACCAAGTTCATAAAAAGTGTATACGCCTCTTGAATATTAATATATTTGGTCCGAGAAGTGTAATCAACAAAACAAATAAAAAAAATACTAACGAGCAGCAAATGTGGTACTTACTACTTTCTATACTAATATCATGCGTGCGCCGGTTAAAGTGTTTGAATTAAAAATTCTAAAATGACTAATCCTATATTCTAAAGGGAATTTCTTTTAACGCGTACATGTATTTGATTTATGTACGCGTTAAAGAAATGAACAGAAAAATAAGCGAACAGACCAGACAACAGTGTTTTGTACCATTGAGAAAATCATAAACATACAACAAATAAAAATTATTAATCTATTAGTATATATTGCCGTTGTGAATGTATTTAAATTTTTTATTTTAATGACAAGATTAATTTAATGTAAATCATAGTTCGAAAACACATAATATATTTTGCGTATCTTGTATTTATGTCCATTAAATTAATGTCTTGTATTTTAAAAGCATAAAATCGTTTATTTTTTCTATAAATAAGACTTTCAGCTAACCGTTTTTTATTAAATAAAAAATTATCCATAAAAACACAAGTGGTTTACCTCAATAACAGTTATTATTAATATTTCTTAAGAAGTGGTAGTATAAAATATTGTTTTAACAGTTATTAAATGGATATTAAATGATCAATTATTGGTACTTTAGTGGGCGAGTGATGATAATAACATTATTATATCTGTGCTCTTTTGGCGATTCATCTCTAGCTGTAATACGAATATTCAGCTATCATAGAACGAACACATTAACAGTTTTACTGTTGAATTAAAATTATTTTTTCTGCCATTTGCGGTTCAACTCTCTAATTATAAGAAAACTTGACTATCTAGTTTGCAGTCAAGCGGCTGAATGTTGTTCCACGAAATTTGATTTATGAAGAAAGAAAAATATCTTTTTGAACACCTACAGGCTTTCCATGCGTTTTGCCGCTAATAAGCGAGTTACACTAATTCAAGTAATAACCGTTATACAAGTTCAAAACATTTGCTGGTCTCATGCGGCCGTCCGGTTTTCGTTATACACGGTAATAACTAATGACCAATTATTAAAAAATACATCCCACTGTATTACCTTTAACGGTCGCCAATTGAAATATTATTTCGAATATAATAGGTTGTTATATGTGTAGCACACAATTATATTCAATATCATTGTGACGCATTAAAATATGATAAATGGGTACAAAATAAAACAAAAAACGTCATTTGCATCGTTCAGGAAGCAGTATTATACAAATCGACACATCCTAGTCGATAGTGGGTCACTAGGCTACAGTTAACTGTTAGGAGATCGGAAAACGACGGATTCACCTGACGTGTGGTGTCGTACACCAGTTGACGTGACCGACAACAATCGTTAATAGAAAGTATCAAAAAACATATACATATAGTAGTATATTTGAGTTGTAAGTACAATGAGAAAAAAATAAAAATTTGTTTTTAATTAAATCATTTTTTTCTTTGCTATTTTTAACTTGTACTGATCAAACAAAAATGATAGTTTTGATTTGTTTAAAAATTGTAACTACTGAACCGTATTTTAAACAGTATAAATTATAATTGTTGGTTTTTGTTTAATTATAAACATTTCTTAAAACGCCTTTTACAAAAAGTATAATATTGTAAACGTGCCTACTCTAATTCCACTTAAAAGAGCAATCATGTCAAGACACAAATTACTATTTAACAAAATATATTGAGATTTTAAGTAAATTATACGAGAATAAAATTATATATTTATAAAAATCTTGCATTATTACTTATTTTGATAAAGTTAGTTATAATTTTTTCTCATCCTTAATGTGCATTTATAACTGTATCGTTAAATAATTAGACTAAAAAATAATAACAAAGCAAAAAAGCAGTTGATTATTGCTGCTCTGGATTAATGAGTTTAGATTTTGAGAGGAAGAGGTAAGGTGAAGTGAAGGGTTGAAAATGTTGTATGGAATTTTACTAATAGAATAACAACAATTATATTATTTTAATGAATTGTAAAATACAAAAACATCTATAAGCTCTCAAATAAAATAAAAAATTGTCTATTTTTATTTTATTTGTAATTTGGTTATAATTACCCCATTTGGCCCTATAATTTTATAATAAATACCAACATTTTTACACGGTGTAGAATGGGAAAATTCTGAACGTCATTAACTGTAGTGTAAAATTGTTAGCTAACATGTGCTAAAAAAATGTAATAAAAATTAATATTTTACTTGTTTTTTCCATTTCGGAATATTTTTCGATGCGGATAAAATCGTCGGTACTCCAAAAGCGCACAAGGTGAATAGTATGGCCAAGGTCTGCCTGTTGGTCATGTTGACCAATCGACGTTGCTTCAATGCTTTCACTGGGACAACACTGACACATAGCTAGACATCCGAGCCCGACCACTTCCCGTTTTCACGTTTGCTTCTGAGATTAACATAATGTAATACGAAAATAGTAAGTACTGCTCGTCCATTGGCCGACCAAGACTAGCGTCGCGTACACTCGTTTGATGACGGCAACAACGGAATCCGAGATGTAACTTTGGAGTTTGGGAGATGACAAATTTGTACCGAGGTACACGAGTATTTACAATTTAATGTCATTATGCAAAATATATATACTGTTATGTTATTGCAAAATCTTACATAACGGGTATAAGTACAGGTTCCGGAGCCTGAGAAAACATAAACTTGACATCAAATATAAAATATTTTAACGCAGCGCAATGTAATAATAATTTCAAGTTCATTGATCGGTTCATGTTCATAACCTAACTGTTGTTCCAAACGAACAAGTGTTTAAATGACATTAATTAATTAATTAATGAACAACAAAGTGTTTAAATTGTGTTAATAATTAATATTATAATTCTAAAAATATAATGTTTAAAATTCGCAAAGAGACTTTCTAATTAAGAGTTCCTTATAAAACCTTTCAAGAGTTTATTCACATACTGTTAATCATTAATAATAAATGAACAACTCATATTATTATGAGCTACACTATTAGTATAAAACGTGAACTAGTATAAATAACTATGTATAATAATTAAAATGATAATGAAGTCCACAAAAAATAACTGTCCACTTAATTAAGAATTAAGTATGAAAATCACAGGGAAAAAATCAAACACTTTTTAAAAATGTTAAAAACAATTTTTTCCTTTTATTCTTCATAAATCAACAATATAATGAAATTTTTTGTTTTGCTATTTTTTATCGCATACATTTTTTTAAATCGTTATTAACGGTTCTCTTACAAACAAAACAAAAAACATTTTCCCCAACATTCCTTATTTGGATACTCTCCACTTGACGTCAGTCGTCTTCTTGACAAGCTTCACAAGTTATAATTTTCCATAGTGTACAATGCAGCTGTCGAGCAATTATAACTATTTTGGGAAATAAATTATATATATATATTTTGTTTTATGGTATACCGTATACACTCGTCTGTTTTGTCTGATTTTATATACTTAATATAACATATTTAAAATGCATGATTTACTTTTATTATTATTATGAATTATAAATACTCTTATTTCAATTACTTTTGCACTCTGACTGTTATGTGCTAATAAAAGTATTTCTGTCATTATAGATTACTGTAACAATAAGTATGACAATCATCTTAAACGATAGTATAATTAAAATATATTTACTAATAAAATAAATTGTATTTAATTAGTAGTCGAAGATATTTGAAACCTATCATGTGAAGTACTAGTTTATATAGTTGCCATAAAGTAAAAACATCTGTAAGGTACTAAACTAATTTTTATTATTTCAAGGAACATTTAATCCATCGCCTTTTTCGCTGTCTTGTACATAATATGTAGCACTAATAACATTTTTTATCTAACCTAATTTTCCTACATGAGACCCCGTTTTGTTTGTCTCATATTTTTCAACTTTATTAACTCACCCTATTAAGTGGAAACAGTGGACCTTGGCTCGTCCACTATTTCATTTCTAATCGCTTAGTTTTATGACAGTCTGTTATGTTATAATCATCTGTGTTGTGATTATTTTAAGAATTTTAAACTATAATTATTTAAAAAAAAAACTATTTTTAAACTATTTTCAATTAAATATAATTTATTTATTTCAATGTAATTAACAATGTACTTCTTATTTTAAAGTACATGTTAAAATATAAATGACATGTTCATTTTTAACATTTTGTAGGTTTCGTGCATTAGTCGACCCACAAACAACGTTTCATAGCTCGAGGGCATCGAACTTCAGTACTGGTTCAAATTTCAAATGCTAAAAGCTCTTGATTATTATTAGCTATGTGTACTATAAGCCCATTTAACTATACTGCGGTAATATATTTGACATTAAACAAATTGACACATAAAAGCAATAGAGTTATAATTTTAAAAAATATTTCTTAAATCTATGAGATTGGCAACTACACGTTGTTTGATGTTTGTTGTGTCATCTACCCTGTAAATGTCAAGGAACTGACTTTTCGTCTGATCGTCTAGAGTAGATCATTTGGATATTCTTAAAATAAATCAGGTAATTTTGGTTTTTTATTCTTATGACATTTTTGAGCGTTACAATTTTATAATGTTGGCAAATGCTCAATCGCCCGACCTCATAAATAACGACAAACTGATTTTATTTCGTCAACGCGATCAAGTATGGCGTGGGATATCTGTATATGTAATGCGTTTGTGATTGCACTTGACTCTGTGATTTCTTAGTAATAAAGAACAAAAGTACTCGACCGCATTATCATATATTTTCGGACACTTTTAATTTAAAGTACTTATCATTTGTCGTTTATTTTAATTTTAATTCACTGGTGTGTTTTGAACATATCTAAGGAGAGTGATAATAAATGTTAATTTACCATTATTAATGTGTTTCTTTTGACTTATAATTGTGTACTATAGGGCGCCGTCTATATTAAAATGTGTAAAAGGACCCGTAGACAATTTTAGAAATGTTACACAACTTTGATGGGAAGACCAAACTCTCCTATGATCAGGAGTTTACCAAGAGCTATCTACTACCATAAACGCGATCGGTGGGCGGTTGTTGAGATAAATGAGAATTCACATAAAAACGCCTCGATATATATATATATAAAGGAATTTTTAATTTTCATTAGCTAATATTATTGTTGGAAAATATTTCATAAAAATTCATCAAGTTAATTAAGCTGTAAACTTTATTTTTATTTTGGCTCATAGCTAAATAAACGCTGAATCTGCTCAGTTTCCTAGAATTTACAACATGCAATTACCATGATTTTGCGCTCTGAAAATAAGTGGGATGATGTACATTAATTATCTTGTTAGTTAAATTAGTAACTATATTGATAATTAAAGTATTCGTAGATATAATCAAAAAATATTTTTAATTTATGGTAATATGGTCAGGTAAATAAGTAGCAACTCTTAAGTATTGATTATTGTCTCAGAACCGGATTTATACAAATACGTTAGTTTTATAATTATGACGTTGGGTAACTGAAAATTTCGCTAAAACATAGTCAATTTAAAAAAAACGGGAAAATATAAATATTAATAACATAATAATCACTAAACACTATATATGAAAATTTCAATAAAAACAACATTAACGAAAACATTACGAAACAAATTTAACAACAAGAAAAAACATCCAAAATGTTTTATGTTCGAAGAATAAAACGTTAAACACTTATTTACAAAAGACGTTTTGAAAAAAAATTAATAACGTTAAGCACTAATTTTTTTCCCAGCTAAGAAAGAAGTCACAAGCTTTAGAAATTTCAGATTCTAATCAATCGATCGCCGCCGCCGGGCACCGGTCGCCGGGTGGATAATAATACTGCACATAATAACGATACGGTAATAATTGTACGGTTGCGTTCCAAGTTGGCAACACTGGATATCCGTTTGTGACTGCGGCGGCTACGGCGGCCGCCGACGAACGCGGGCGAGTCTGCGCGCGCGCCTCGCTTCCAGCCGCCACCGACGCCCTCCATTAGTTGAGTATGTCGGCCGGCTGCGGACGCTACCGAGAAGCATCGCGTTACCGTGTATGTGTTATTTTGTGATTGTCGTTTTTTTTTCAATAGATTTTACACCCGAGACTATGTTTTAATATCAAACACATCATACTATACAGAAATTATTTATTTAACACTAGTGTCGAAACTGTTGTTCCTGCTGAAAGTATCCAATACACGATCATAATTATCATACCAAAAGGAAAAACGAAGGAACGTCGACTGTTGTTGTGTCCGCGGTACGGTGCAAGGTGAGTAAATGTTTTCGTTTTTCACCAAACTGCCCCCCCTTCCCGCAATCCTCCTTAAAATCTTTTCAAATGTTTTTTTCGCCATCACCTAAAACAATATTACTAAACTAGGGGTCGGATCAGGTACTAATTGTCAGGTACTGCTGTCCTTGACCGATATTATTTTTATTGTTGTTTTCACACAAATGAGTTTTTTTACCGGCAACTGTTTTACTGCCTAAACCGTCTGTCGCCTCCTCTCCGATGATAACGAGCAATTAAAAAACAGACGTTTAGATAAACATCTGTCTGTTTTTTTCACGAATAACCGTCGCCCAGTATTGCTGTTTTCGCTATACTATAGTGCTTACTGTTCAAACAAAATATCGGGTGGCATGAACGCGGCCCTATAAACTTATATAAATACTACATTAGTCAAGTACCAGTTGCCCGAACTTGACATCTTATCATACTGCCGATAACCAATTTCGCGAACGGTATTATGATATTGTTTTATATACCTAGATGTATAATAATTACTATCATATTAATATTTCCCCCCGACGGTTATAACCCGAGTTCTCCTGCGGCGGGCATAACTGCATACCGTTTCCGGCTCCCCCGAAACAATAAAGTATAACTAGTATCCACGGTAGTGCATGTAATTGATATTCGTCCCACGGAGCCATGTCCGGTGTGTACGTGTGTTCTTCCCCTTCCCTTTGAACATTACTGTTTCATTAAATAGGTAATAAACGTGTTTCCGCTATGAAAAATTAGCATACCGCCAATTTTATATTACATTTAATTACTGGTTTGGGAATCTCCCCTTTTTTAAAAAAATTGTATCTATTTGATTATTGAAAACATCAAGTACATGATTTTATCTGCGCGAGCCTTTATCGCAACCGGTCATGTTTGTGTCTTGTGAGTTGTGTGTCGTTTTATTATTTTATTATTAAACCACAAAATATTTTTATTATTGCTCGTTCAAGTGTTTTATTACTATTTTGATTTTATGACTCTTTTTACTATACGACATTTCGAGTTTTTCTCAATCATAAAAAAATTATAAAATGTACCTAATGTTCAACCTATTACCTATGGTAATTGCAACTAGTCTAAACTACAAAATGTATCGATAATCGATTCGAATGTGCCTGCTTATTAACGAATAACAATCAGGTCAATTCAATGGTTGCATGTCAATATTGATTAATAGTTATTTACATGAAAACGTTTTGCCGTGAAGGCCAAATGCATATTTTCATCTCATAGTTTCGACTTTTTAATTAATGTGTACCGGTCGTTAGAACCTATATTTTATCTTTCAGAATTTGATTTACCAATATTGTTATACAATCATTTTAGGGCCAAAGAACAAACATCAATAATGAAACATAGCATTTTGGCTTTATCTCGTATTATTGGCTACAGCGGTATAAAAACATTAATCGTTTTTAAACTGACATCGATATTTATCAAATTACTGTCTTTAACGTATTATTCTATTATAAGAAATTAACACCAGCGAAGAACAAACCAAATTGTTCTTTCAATCTTTGCTTTAAAAAACCAATAAATATCGGTTACACAAATTATCCTGTTATTATTTAATATATTGTTTGCCAAGTTGGTTAAATAACAATAATAACCATACAAAACGGTGTGTTATTTTTTGAGATAGCAATAACAATAAAGAATACGATCTATTGTTGCATGGATTAAGTAGTAATGCTCTTTTAAACTTTAATTTTCTTAGAAAATAATGTTTTAATCTTTTCATTGATGGTTCGTGTACTCAAGCTTCATTAAAATATAATTGTAATAAGTACATGAGTACACATGTACACATGCTGCTTTTTCGTGCAAAAATATTGGTTAGCATTCTGTAAATATCCTGAACATATGATATTGACATTAATAAAATTATCAAGACTAGTTCATACTAGTTCATATCAAAGAAATATTTTTAATTTCATTATTTTATTTTTGTTTACGATAAGTTAAAAAATAAATGATTTTTCAAAGCTTAAGTAATAATTTGAACTTTCTAACAACGAACTATTACATAGTTGAAGTTCTCTTTTTTCCAAAAGCTAAGAAAATATTATTTCAAGTATTCTTTCTCTATGATTTAGATTTTGCCAAAAAAAAAACTGTATCGAAGTAGCACGTTACCTAGCAAAAGTATAGAATATCGATTTTTATCTGATAATAATATCATATGAATAAATTCTATTATAACCTTTATTATTATTCGTTCATTTTTCATTATTTTGTCTCTCTTAATAATAGACAAATCGACGTGGCCAAAGAAAAAATAATATTCGCGATCATCTGATCATGACATCATCCGGTTAGGTTAACACAGTGTAGTCATCTCGACACTCGACAGAAGGTCCACGACCACCTCCGCTGCGAGTCTTATTCACGTAATTCCTATACACTACTCTTCATACGTGCATAAATAAACCTACACATATATAAATATATTTACACACACAAAATAATGTTTGTTTCCAAACAGCATGATTTTTTATTGCTTCCTAAAGAAACACGTATTATTTTTTTTCATTTTTTTTTTTTTGGTCTACACTAACTGTATGCCTTCCCTCCCCAGTTATTCTGATCGACACAGTATAATCAACTGGGACATAGTTCGAATTTTGACATTTTGTCGCCGAATTGTCTTTGACATTTTTGAACGATAACCTCATTTTGGTTCCATGCCAAAATAATCCAAAAACTGACTTGACGAAATAACATATTCGAAGACACAGAAACTTGCTTCTGACCTAACGCCAAATATTATACTGCTATACGGCCGGCCAGTGTTATTTTAAATGTTTGCAATTTTTTAAAAAATAAATATTTAAGCACGATTTTCTAAAATAAGTGCATTTGATTACAATACATATTTTATAATCGTGCACGGTGATAGGTTGAATGCTACTTGCACATTTTAGATAAGTCATCATTTCGCATGTGTAGTATCACGTCATCTGCTGTATAAATTTAAACGTCGAGTTGTCTATTTTCATGCTCTCTCGAGTAATGTAAAACTAATTAAGGTCAAAGCCAACGTTATGACTTTACCATACTAGTTTATAATATTTTGTCTTACGTATTTTATTTGTGATTTATCTTTGCAATTATAAAATTATTTTATTTTTATATATTATCTTAATAATCTCTTGTTTTATTCAGGAACTCCTCTTAAAGTACTACTACTTTGATGATCAATGCACCGTAATAGTACCTACAATATTCTATAAATTCTTTACAATTTTAATTTTTAAAGTAACTTAATTGGAAATTAAAAGAAAATAACTATAATTACAATGTTTGTATAATATATTTAGTGAATTTGTTAATTAGTTCCTTGTATTTACTCAATTCCGCATCAAACATAATTGTGTTTTGTTTAGAATTTCATTTTTTATTCTAGAAAAAAGCGAATTTCCTAATACCAGTACTTATAAAGTTATTAATTGTTATATAAACTATTGAATTTATATCTAATACCAATAAGTAATGACTGATCGAGGAATCACGGTTTAATAATCATTGTGAAAGCTAAGTGTTAATTATAATGGAGTAGCTATTTTTTAACGTACCTATCAAAACAATTATATTACCACGATTCCGCTGTTTCCAAACCGTGTTACACTCAAAAGATAACAAAGTAACTTTGCGAAATATACATATTGTTATCTGTGTGAAAACCGTGTTTGTTGAAGCTTCAAACGCAAGCTTTATAACTGTTACATTGTTTACCGTTTACGACATTGACTGGTACACATAAGTTACCGCGTTTTTTAGTAAATATTTGATTTATTCGCATAAACTCCGTGCTAAGCATACATTATTAGTCAAATATAATATAATATATGGGATTGGAAGCCGTTTGGAAATGCGGTTACTTTTGCTATAAGATCATGTACTCGTGTCTCATACACTATTTTTAAACTATACGTATATGTAGTGAGTTGGCCGCTTTTAATAATATTTCGAAATCATTTGAACACAATATTGTTTTCGTACCCGAGTATGGATCCATTGACGATTTAGAAGGCCGGTGATTATTATTTATATATTAATTCATTTATTAGTATTTGTTCGTTAACCTAGGATTAATTTGTATAGAAAATCGGTTATCGATCCGTTTGTGATTTTTTTTATTATTTAACTACCAATAATCGACAATGTTATCGTCTGTAGCTGATAATCTGTACTGTAATCTGTTTATTTGGGGCACAACATTTAAAAGGTCGTTTTCTGATATTCGTATCATTTTATTTGTGTTGAGGAACGATAACGGTTTAGTATGTACGTATGTCATAACTTATACCGAGGGCGGTATTCGCTTACGTTCACTTTGTACACATTACTATGAAATAATAATATGGATTTTAATTTTTAACATAAGCTAGGGTATGAAGAAAAAAATTGATGATCAATGTAAATACATAATATATATTTATATACCTTGTGTGTAAATGCATGTGGGGTGGTTATTTATACAAGACGGTGATTCAGCCGTCATAATCGTAACAGGCGCCATGAAGGCTATAAAAACGCCCCGATTGCAATCGATGAGAGAAGACGTGGCCAACGAACAGTTGAAGGTCGGTTTTTATATTTTATAGCCGTTTTCTTGGGTTTAGGTTATTGGCTCGGAGGGTTGTTGTTTTAGTTACTCTTATATGGTAACTTTTATTCAATTTCCTACTGGGATTTCCATAATTTTTTATCCTAAAAAGAGTTTCATCTACTAGATGTTCCTGTGACCTAGGCAGCATCGTTTTAGTGTGACCTGAATACATACCGACCAACCTGATGATCTTAAACATGATTAATTCCCATAAAAACGAATTTCTTCGGGTCATTTATGAACAATAATCCCAAAAAACCCCATTTGAAGAACTTTTTAGAAACTTTGCTACTCTATACTAATTAGCATATATTAACTTAATTTTTTTAATGGTTGTTCTGAGGTAGATTCATACGTTATAACA